CCAAAACCCCAAAACCCCAAAACCCCAAAACCCCAAAACCCCAAAACCCCAGGCAATGATATTTAGAATCAATATTTGCTTAAAATAAGAATAAATGTTGAAAACTATTGAGTCTGAAATAAAGCATCTATATTACAAGGGAAAAAGGATAGTGAGGTAATTGCAAAAATCTTAAATCCCCCTACAAGAGCCTGAAAATATTTAGATCAATTTCAATAACATTCAGAGAAAGCTTATGATTAATGAATTATCGAGCATACAAGATAGCAATAAAGTAACTTGGGCTCTCTAAAATTATATAGATATAAACTTTCGTAAATTTCAACAAATCAAAAGGAAATTATGTGATAGATATTGATGGAAATACTTTCCTAGATGTTAGTAATACTGAATTCAATCCTCTTGGTTACAATCACAATTCATTCTTGAACGTAATAATCTATAATCTCAATAATTTCCAAATAGGCACTGAAATCAAACCATTTCGATTAATCTCTTATTAATTCATCCTTAAGCTTGGATTAAAACTTTGATTAGGTCAAACTTTCTAAAATAGATAACTCTTTCAAAGCTTTTGTAGATATTGATACAGGTTTTGACACAGTAAATTTAACTGATCATGGAAGAGGACTTGAAACAGCTATTTAAGCAGCATTGACAATAAAAGATGATAAATTCTCTACTGTACTTGGATTCAATCCATCTTAGCACGGTGATAAAATGTCTTTTATCAGATAATAATTTAGTAGATCAGTGAAATAAGTCAGATTATCTAACTTTGATAATTGGCCAATCCTTAATTATCCAATTGATATTAAGGGCGAGGAATAAGTCTTAGACAAAATAAAATAAAATATAAATAATCTAAATATTGTTAACAGTCCTGTTGGAGTATTAATTATGGAACCTATTAATTCAGTAATTGGGTACAAAGTAACTGATTAATTCGCTAATGAATTAAGAAGTATTTGTAATGACAAAGAAATTTTTATAATATATGACACCACACATTTCTGTGGAGGTAGTAATGGGGATAATATATTTGGATGTAGCTTAAGTATACCAGATTACATAGTTTTTGGAAGGAGATTACCTATATCTGGATACTTATCGAAATCAAGTATTGATGAATTTCGTACCATAGGTGGTAAATTGTTATCTCTAAGTCAATTTGAGATAATCTCTCAGGAAATATCCAATCAAAATTTGATTTAAAATGCGAATCTAATGGGCTAAAAATTTGTTGATCAAATAAGATAAAATATTTTGAACAAAGACTATATTACAGATGTAATATAGCATGGTCTTAATATATATTTTAAATCCACAGACTACCTATAAGCAAAGCTATTGTATCATCATTTTATTAGCAACGGAATTTTAGTAAAACCGAATTTCCCTCATGGTATAATTGTCAAGCCCTCTCTGATTTTCAACAATAAATGCCTAGAATAATTTATAGAAGTATTAAATAAACTTTGATTAATCAATTTATTACACACTTCGTCATTAATTTTGCCATTTGGGGTTTTGGGGTTTTGGGGTT